AATGTCAGATGGAAATGTCAATAACCATGTTTGGTGCATCACGGTGGCCGTGCACATTGGTTTTCACTCTCTCTTCTTTCTGAATGACTTGGACTGCTTCCTTATTCTGCCATTTTGGTGGTTCCCAAAACCCGTTTGAAGACTAGGGGGGACCTGTCTTTCCAGGCTGTGGCTCCCAGACTGTGGATCACTGCGTATGGCCCAATCTGTTGGTGGTTTTAAGAAGCAGCTGAAGACACATTTGTTTAGTCAGGCTTTTAGTTGATTTGATAGTTAGGTTTTATTTTATTTTTATCATAGTTTTTATATCTTATCTGTTAGTGTTGTTGGCATATTGTTGTTTTGCTTGTTTTGTGTTCTGCATTGCTGACTTTGTGAAGCACTTTGTGATTTTATCTGTGAAAGGTGCTATATAAATAAACCTTACTTACTTACTGTTTTACTCAGCTTTAGAGAGCTTTGTCATTCTCCCTCCAGCTCCTCTCCCTGTTCCTCTGACCCTGTGTTGCCTCATCTGTCCTTCTACTGACATCTGCCTTGGCTTAGTGGAGCTTTAGCCACCATCACCTTCCATCTCAGGTTGCGTTTGCTTCTCCAGGATTCCCCTCGCCATCTTTTTGCCTGTGTCTTTGATCAGTGCGATTTAGCCATTGTCACATTGTAGTACAGGTTGTGTTTTATTGAAGCTGTCAAGGTGCTGACCTTTATCTCCAGGGGAAGAAAGAGGGATGCCAGCAGTATGATGGAAGGAGAGAGGGATGACCAGGCCCCGTATGAGTCTCATCTCCCAGAGTGGAAAGTCTGGTTTGCTGCCAGACTCTAGTCCTCAGCCTTTATTATTTTATTTATCTGTCAGACACGTCACTCACCTGTGTTTGTCGGTTCTTCTCATGCAAGTGTGCATATTCAGTCTGGACAAATGTTCACCTTTATCTTCTGTCTGTTCTGCAGTACAACAGCAAGGACATGTAGCGGGCGCTCAGGATCAAACCTGTCACACAGAAATAAGCTCCAAGTGCAGCTAAGGATGTGAACCCCAATATGAGCAGCCAGGTTTTTTTTCTGCTCTTGTAAATCTACCTGTCGAGCAACCCGCTGCTCTCATAGAGGCTTGCTGCCTGGTTTACCAGACTAATGTAAAGTCTTTGGCACCTATCTCCAGTTAAACATAAAGTGCAGGCTCACTGACAAGGTGGCAAACTCCACAAATCTGACTTGCATTTCTGCATATTCTCCTATGAGTCATAAAGCTTCTGTATGTTCATATTCCTTCCTCGCTTTAATGAGTCATCAGTCTGGTTTTGGCCTATGTCTCTAGTCTTTCGATGTTTCTTTCTTTCGCTCTTTCTTATGTTACATGTACGTTCTATCAGACTGAGAGACAGGACAAAAGCAGCACCTTTGGTAACTGCCGTGTTCAATCTGTAGTCGGTGTCAATCACTTCATCACTGCCACATTGTGTGTGCTAGTGAGAGGAGGAAAAGCCGCTGGGCTGCGACGTCCTCCATGCTGGAGCTTGAGCACACAACAGAGTAAGACGTGGCTACTTCCTGCCGTTTTATACAATAGTTTGTACATTAGGTTTTAGTCTGAAGGCCACCTGGGTATTTGCTATGTCCACACAAATATGTTGTTCAGTAGCCTTATAAGGACGAGGAGTAGAACATCTGCCAGGCCGCGGTCAGGTCGGCAGGAGGAAACCTCCTATAACGTCAGATCTTCAGATCTGTTGTGTGGCTGCTGAGGAGCACTGAACTTCCCTGTCTGCAGCTTAGAGCCTCTGGTTTGAAATACAAATAAATAAGTCATTAACATTACCAGCAGCACAGTGGACAACTGTCACTGGATCACTGTGATGCTGAAGGAAACCTAACAGGGACATTCTCATGCAGGTTCTGAAGCCTCTTCTTCTCTGGTTTCTAAGTGGATTTCTGTAGGTTTATTCTAGAGGGACATCGTAGATGGTGAGATCCTTGGAATGTGTCCCACCTGTTGATGAGGGCTCTGATTAGCAGCTGATAACATGCCCTATTTGGAGCGATGTAGCTGGAGGAGGTGCTGGTGAGTCTTTGCTGTTTACTGGCACAGGTCAGCTGGAATAAAGGTGCTTCTTGTTCCACGCTGAGGTTCAAGGTCTACACAGTCTACCTGGTGACAAATGATCAGCTGATCTTTGGTGGAGCTCAGCTGAGACTCTACCTTTTTCTTTTCAGCACCAAATCCATCAGCTAGAAATCTTGTTTTGGCCTCTGAAAGCATAACGCCTTCCTGCCGAGAGGACCAGGGTGGGCTCTGTAGACCCGTGTTAGCTGCCTGCAACTGAACATGCAGCATGCAAGTTGCAGCTTGCAGTAGCTGTGAAGGACCTGCACCAAATGTACGTTCCTATATTAGTGTGTGTGTGCGCGCGCACAGAGGTGACGGGTGCAGAGTAGCAACAGCAGGTTCAAGGCTTCTCTGATTCCCTGAGGTTTTACTGGGTTTTCATGCCACAGGCCTAGAGTCAGCAGAAACCACACACCCTCGTGTGTGTGTGTGTGCATGCGCAATGCAGCATCCATCCCTGCCGCGCGCATGCGCAATGCAGCATCCATCCCTGCAGACCAGATGAACTGGCCTATGTGACATCTTAAATCAGAACCTATAAAACTTTAAACACATTTCATCTACTTTTCAAGGACATGGCCACCAAAGCCCAGTTTGATGAAGACCTCGGGCCCTGTGGCTTCGCTGTTTTCAGCCCAACACTAACACTGTAGAGGACCTGAAACACTCCAGTCTACTTGGCTTTCTGCTACCACTGACAGGCATCCCAGCATATGCAGACAGTTTGAAGCACTAAGATATAATGTTATTGAGCTGATCTGTCAGATTTTCTGCAGAATGTCTGAATTTCACAGACAGACATTGAATGTTTCTGCTCAGTTTTCATGTCCTTGTGATTTAACACTCTACAGCATAAAGAAATGTCACTAGCATTCCCTTGGTATTTGAGGGTTTTCTGCACTACAGGACTACATGTATAGAGATGTGCTAAACAAGCTCACAAAAATGCTTTGTTACACACAGGGAGGGAACAAAAGGGAAAAAACTAAAACAAGAAGCAGAAATATTTTCCCTGAGCTCTGTGTTCACACTGTTTATAGCAGCACTGTAACTTGGTATTATTGATGAGTAGACTTTAAAGGTGAAGTTTAAACAAATTTGATAAGTATAAAAAAGAAAAACGTCAAGTGGAACATTATTTCCAAGTAGATGCAAAGAGACGTACTGTGCCTTTAAACTGGGAAGCTGTGGCTGGGAATCTAAGTTTGTTTACAATAAAGTGCTGCCTTCTCAGAGTTGGTGCTGATCTGGGTGAACAGACTTTCACAGTGAGAAGGCCACTAAAAATCTGGGACATGATCCAGAATTCGGTTTGCTGGAACATGAGTTTGACAAAGTAAGGAGTGAGAGTTTTTCATGGCAATTAGATGGAACCTGTCTGAGGTCAGGGGTTATGTGATCTCTGTCCAGCCTGGGTTTCACTGAGGGCCAGTAAAAATTAAATTCCATCCCTCAGGAAAGTTCTGGAGAAACTCCTAAGGCTGTGAATCCTCTCAGCAGATATGTCTTCTAATTAGCCTTTGACCTGTCGGGGTGCACTCATGCTCATTACGGATGAGTTAGAAGTTGGATGTTAATGCGCACAGCTCTGTGAAAGCTCAAATTCTTGTCGGTCCACTGTTTCACACAGGGCTCATTATTTTTGGTTGCTAAAAAACAAAACACAAAGATCTGGCAAGAAATTTGTTCTTAAAAATATCATTTGCAGCACAAACTCTTTTTCTGATTCTTAGCTCTGGTACATAATCAGCAGCTTATTAGCTCATTGTCCCAGTTTGTCTTCGTTGTCTGAGCTGTCAACAGCAGGGACAGGAAATCCATCTAAACCAGTCTCATCCTATTAAAGCATTCAGGTACTTGCTGATTAAACAAGATGAGCTGCAGCAGAGGTTCCTCTTTTA